CAGTCTATATCTAATTCCTTTCTTTACTGAATTCGATTAGCACTATTTGTTTGATCATTAGAGATGATCTTATTTTTATGTTTGTGGGCAAAGATATTTATTGAAAAATATGTTGAAAAAAGCCTTCAAAGAACATACTATCACATTACGAAAAGACAATTCAATTGCTTGAATTTTACAAAAGATATTTATATTTACTTCTCCGACAAGCTTTAAGGACATTTTCTGTATATTGAAGTAAAATTGATAATTTAACTAAAGTTTATTGTAAATAAAAAGAAAACGTCTTATCAGAAAAATATACAATAGAATTTTAATGTGTGTTGAATTGAAATTTGCGTAGACTGGTTTATTTTGTTTGTATCGTTTGAATAATAACATCTTTTATTGAATAATTCAAACTCGATCATTTGGTTGACGTTTATGGTTTAGTTTACACAGAGAAGCCACTTATAAACAAACATTTTTTTTAATTCTCGTCCACAGATTAGTTTGAGAATTTTTTTCTTAGGAAAAAATTATTAACCATGATTATGTGTGCGACAAATTTGATATTTGAATCGATGACATTAGCAAGAGAATTTATTAGAATTTCAAAGTCTGAAAAGTATAATAATTTTGCATTAAGACTAGTGTATTATGATGCAGATGAGCACAAACAAAATATTTGTTTCATAATTTATCATAGATCTATCAATACAACTCATGGTTCTCACATCATTAAATCTTGCATATAACAGACAAAAAAACGATGCTCATATATATCACAAAAAATGTATTAATTTCGAAATACCATCAAATGAAAAGGATTACTGCAAAAGAGAAAATTTTTTTAATTACACATTTGTCATAAAAATTAAAACTTAGACAAGAAAAACTGATAATATTTATTTTGATTTAGTGAAAGCGAGAAAAAATGATACGTAAAAGTATTACACATTCATGAGGTTTATATACTCTGTAATGAACAATGATTAAAATCATGATGTGAACTTCGTATATTATGTCTAAGGGGGAAAAAGCGCTACTTCAGTACTTCACTCGTACTTCAAAATTGTGCTTGAAGTACAGTGAAATTCGAGTGAAGTAAAAGTGAAGTACAAGTGAAATGAAGTGAAGTAAAGTAAAGTATGAGTGAAGTACAAATAGAAATGTAAGTGAAGTACAGTGAAGTACGAGTGAGTACAAAGGAAGTACGATGGAGTCTCGCTTTTTCCCCCTTGCTTCTTCCACATAAATTGTTTTTTTTCTGCAGATGCTGACGTTATACCCAAACAAGAAATTTTGCTGTCACTATAAATTAAAAAAAGTTACGCTTCCATCACACAGCTGATCAAAGTTTGCCCCAACGTAAAAAAGAAGGCATAATAATACTTATCATTACGAGAACTCTATCAGCGCGTATCAACTTGTGTCTAATTAACACTATCGATTGGTCGCTTAATTATCTCTATGATTTGTTAGCTATAATCAGCTGTATTCACAGCTGTTTGACATAGGAGAAAAGAAAGTGATTAAAGTTTTTTGTTGCTTGTTCATTTCAATTATTTGGAAATGATAAAAAGATTAAGTCTTCAAAAATTTGTATTTTTGAGACACTATTTGCTAGCGAAGGGAGCGTCCGGAAGAAGATTAAGAAAAAACGATACCCCTTTTATCTCGATACTATCACTTTACGTTTGAACTATTAAGTAGTTTCTGAGTTTCTGTTCTCAAGTTTATCGCGACAGATAATAACAAGTACTCATGCATACATCGAGAAAGTAAGAAAGAAAAAAAGAAAAAAAAGAAAACTCGTGACCATCTACATAAGTGCTGTGCTTCCCACCGCATGAAAAAAAAGACTTTTTCATTCTTTTATTTGCTCATTTTGTTGACTTATTTTGCTCTTATTCTTGTCTATCTCTTCACAACATACATTCATCTTTTTTCAAGCTGGTTGTTGACAATTGTTAACATATATAACACTTCTGCTTGTTCTACTCGATACATGGCAATGGCAACTGGTAAAGAAAAATGTTTTACATGTGCCAAAGATAAAATCGTATACCTATGCGAAGGATGTTCACAAAAATTTTGTTTGACAGATTTAACAGAACATCGTCAAGCACTTCACAAAGAATACGACAAAATTATCACCAATTGTGATGAATTTCGACAAAAACTTATTGAACAAAAAGAAGATCCAAATCAACATCTATTGATACAACAAGTTGTTGCATGGGAAAAAAATTCAATTAAGAAAATTAAACAAACAGCAGAAGAATGTAGACAGACATTACTTAAACACACAAATGACAGCCTTATTGAAACGGAAAAGAAATTGAATAAATTTATTTCAGACTCGAGACAAATTCGTCAAGAAGATGAATTTAATGAATTTCATTTAAACCAACTGAAAAAGCTATTAGAAGAACTGAAAAAAGAATTTGATCAACCGCTAAATATTTCAATCCATGAAGGTTCTACAGCATTTATAAACAAAATTTCAGTCTCGAGTAAGTGTGAGAGTCATATCTAAATTAATGGAAGAGTCTATGTACAGCAGAATATGAACATTCTTTCAAGTGCTTTAGGTAAAATTGAATGGGGAAAAATTATTGAGTTTTCATAAACGAATGTTTAAGAAATTAGTACATAACTAAGTAGTTATATTTTCTCAAAGAGAAAGCTCATCAACATCGTAGTACTTTTACCAGAAGTATTCTCTATAAATTCATTTTGAGAAAAATTCTTCATTAGACTTGTAATATCAATTCATATATGTCACACAAAGCATTATACATATTAGACATAAAAAATAGTTTTATATTTATAGATTAGCTTGAAACAAAAGAATAATACACAGTAACTAATATTTTGAGAGATTCTTTATTTTTTTGACACTTTCTGATTAATATTATTTTTAAATATACTTATGTAAGTAATATGAATCAATGAATTAATAAGAGGTGTTTGAATTCCATGAATTCTCAATTCTTGGAGATTTCGAGACTTACAGGTCCATCAAAATACAATTAGAGATAAACCATAAGTATAGGAAATCTAAGCAACTGTCTGAACTTAAGAAATCGAGAGAATTCAAGAAATTTGAAATATTGTAGGTGTTCGATGAGCTGAAAACACTTAACAACACTAATCATAGACGCTACTAGCATTGTTTAGCAAAACAAATGGAGATAGTCGGATTACAAATGTACTCTGACGTTGACCCTTGTGTTAATATAGAAATACCAATGACTTTGAGTAGTTGATTTTGAGTTGAACATGTTTTCGAAGGCACTCCATCGTAGTATGCAAACTTCCATGAATTTTCAGATCTGAGTGAAATCTGAAAAAAGTTTCTAACAGAAAATCTCGAGCTAAATTCAAAATGGCACGATTATTCCAGACCTCTTTGATGAATCGAACTGATTCCATTTCTGTTGTATAATACCATTTGTAAGCCTTTGTTTCTAGCAAACGATAAGAGAGCCTTTAATATTAGTCAAAATTATGGTGATTTAAGTGGCACATGGAAATGTGACGATGGTGGATTGTATTATATTCGACAATTAGATAATGCAATATGGTGGTTTGGTGCACAACAGGTTGCAACCAAGCGCCAACCGATATTTTCTAATGTTCTTCATGGGATGATTGATTCGTCAATGATAAATGCGCAATGGTGTGATATCCCATTAGGTCGAGATCGTCACAGTGGTTCAATTACGCTAGAAATCATTGGCGTTGGTGAATTAAAAAAAACATCATATACAGGGTCTTTTTGTGGTTCAATATGGAAAAGGCAATAATTATTTCGTAGCTCATTTTCAAGCTGTCTCAATATCAGAGCTAAGAAGACAATAGTTAGAAAATTGATACCGTCAGTATGATGGAACCTATCGTTACATATTCTGCTCTACTATAAGCGTTCTCTTTTATTTCTTCACTCTTCTTATTCTTTCCTCTCATTGTGTTGATCGTTTCATGTTTATGTAAACATTCATTAATTTTATCATCATTTGTTGCTGGTCTCTCAAATATATATATCTTCTCTTATCTCGCGAGAGGTTGAAATAATCTTTTCCGTACTTGATTCTATGAGTGAAGAAAAAGGAGTATCACGTAGACAATTTTCGTTGCACTTAGCGATCAAAGGGTGGCTGTGGGTCTTATTTTAATGAACATTTACTCTGTCATCCACACCCATACCCACATATGATATATTACCGAAAACGGTTGATTTTGTGCTCAATCTTCGCGAAGGCTGTAGAACGATCCGATGAGAGTGTTAAGTAGAAAGCTAGCAATCAGCGCACTTGTATTATATATCAGAAGATTGGTAACTCTATGTCAGGGTCGATGTGCAGCAATAATGACAATCACCGCCAAACAGAAGATCAAATCAACAGTAGTACAAACTACAATTGAGCATGTAAAATCGGCAATAAAATATTGTTCGTTAGACATGCTTCCAAAAACTATAGTTTTCACTTACAATTAAATATTTCTTAATAAATTGTCCCATAGTCTTGGATGCAAAAATCATCATTCAAGAAGTTGATTTGCTCTTATTTCTTTAACAATCAACATCTTTCTTTTTCATTTGTGTATTCCTTACTGTTAATGAAACACGACAATATCTGTAGGGTTGAAGAGTGATATTTCTTTATATCAGAGATGAATGTTTTGCCATGATGAAAGCTCATCAAATGCTGTTTCTATGTATTTATTTCACTTTTCAAATTTTATCAGCAGCAAGTTGATCTCAAAAAAAGATAAATAGCATATGTCAACTGGATTCGAGCATGGCTAAGTGACCCACGAGCAGTCATTGAAGTCCAAGGGAAAAGATCAAAATGGATTTCAGTTGAACGTGGTGGTCCTCAAGGCTCCAGTTTCACGCCGACATTGTTCATCACGTACCACAGTGATATGGCCGATTTTATTCCTAAGGCAATGTCATTTTTCTTCGCGGACGATCTGGCCGCAGTACTAGCGGGTCGAATAGGTATTAAGTATACATATCAGTGTATAGATCT